ATTTAAAAAATAATATCTAAAAAATGATATCTTGAGCTCTTCAATAACACATCCAGTGTGTTATTGAAGAGTTCAAGCAACCAAAAACAGCAATTGTGCTGTTGTACGATATTGATCGTCGTTTGTTCTTTTGCATACTAAATTATGTAGGTATCTACTTAATTAAATCAAATATTTACAATACAAAACGCACGTTTAAGCACGGCTGACTGCATAAAAAACAATTCACACCGTTCGGTCGTCGTTGCGGCGCGGCGGCGCATTCGCGACTGGGTGCCCGCCGAGAGCACATCGAACTCGAGTGGCGTAGGTATGACTCGCTTTCCGACCGTTTGTATGAAGATAGAATACTGTATGATATTATTACCGTGGTAGTGGCGTCTGCGCCTGCGTCTCCGCCACAGGCGACGCGGCGGGCGCGAGCGTTGACGTCGTTACGGCTGCCGCTACAGGAGCTTCTTCTTCTGAAGTTTGTTCCTTATCTTGATGAAGTTAATGATGATGCCCAATAGCAGTAAGACTATATTGTTTTAAACTTTCATGGTCACTAACATTATAGTGATATAAGTTATTTACGGGATTGTTACCATGTAGATTGATTCTGGTCCTAACCACTGGATTGAGTTTCATAACCCACAGATTATCTCGACAGAACGCCACTACATACCAAGATTGGTCAGGGAAGCGATTGAAATAACAAAACATAAAAATTTCAACCGTGAGGACGGATGGACGGAGGATTCATGAACTCACCTTCGATTACATGATGAGAAATATACATGAATTGTTCACCTGCAATTTAAACGCTGTATCATACAGTATAAATATTTCATTTTTTATTTTTTTGTTTCCTCAGGCAGGGGAGCGGGTGTGAAATCCTCATAGATATCCTACAGCCAGCTGCAAGGTTATGTCAGATTCCTACTGACTAAAACACACCCATAGTTCATGCTTTTGGCCGGAATAACCTTACAAGCTTCGTCTGAAGCGATCATCCCCTGAAAGGGGAATTATGCAGCAGTATAAATACGATTACAAATAGTGTTATTTATATTAGGTTTTCTCTTGATCCACTATCCTGCTCGAGAACAGAGATATGATCTACGATGTCAGCAAGCGACGTCGGGGGCAACAACCATTATGCACATCCCATTAAGCTCATTAAGACCGTATCACATTAGCGCTTGTTCAGGTATTCTGCCGGCCCTTTAGCCGTAATGTGTTCCTCTAAATGCCGCACAGACGTAATTAATGTTTTACATCACCTTCCCGCCTCTTTTGTGCTACTAATTATGTTTCTAATTACTCTCCTGCCATTACTCTGAGATTACTCCAAAAATACTGGCCGATTTAAATGGCTTAAAAAATAATGGACTTAGCCTGATTTCACATTGCATTGAACTGCGCATCTTTATATCGCAAAGTAAAATTCAAATTCAATATCGTTTATTCAGTCTAGGTTGTTATAAGCACTTGTGAATGTCGAAAAGCTACGCCATCGGTTCGCAAATCTACGACGGGAGACCTTGTACTGAGAAGAACCGGCAAGATACTCAGCAAGGGCTGTTTTTTTTTAAATTATGACTATAATATTTGTTTCTTAGGTTTTCACGCACATCACTCATTAAATAAAACTAGTTTTTAAGACTTGCGTCTGACGGATATATCACTTCTACCTTGCGAGTATCCGCATGCACTGTACTATCGTCTGCATAGCAATGAATATTCCCTAGAAGAATTAAATCATTGATATTCAGCATAAGAGGTCAAATGGCGTTGGACGGGACATATGTCGAGAGAAAATATAGAAAAATGGAGTAGGTTAGGAACAGAATGGTATCCAAGGGATGGAAAAAGAAGTAGAGGCAGACAAAACAAAAGATGGGAAGACGACTTGCGGAAAATAGCTGGCCCAGCATGGAGCCGATTAGCGAGAGACAGGAATACGTGGAAATCTTTAGAGGAGGCCTTTGTCGACAGACAAGCTGTTCAACATAAGCAACCAGTTGCCGATCACTTTAATACAAATTAGAATGTATATTTAGTTTTTAGCAAGTAGGCATAGTTTTAGTAAAAAGAAACAGCAATAAAGGCTATTTTATTTTAATTTTTATTTATTTTTATTTATCATTCAGCATAAAGAGTGTTTGGGATAGGACGGAGCTCTCAAGTCTCAAGTAATCTGTCAAGGCTGATAGCCAACGCCTCGCCCCGGCTGTCGATAGCCTCACCCCAGATGTGAGTCAAGTACGCTGGAAAATCACCAGTCGGTCGTTTCGGTCTATGCTCTTGCCACTTCGACCTGGACAGCCAATGAGGGCAAGCCAGGAGTGAGATCCTGCAGACCCTTTCGGATTCCACTGAGGTAAGCTTGCCTGCAGTCTCGCCACTCACCAACAACTTGCTACAAAAATACCCCGTGGGTTTATTATTATTATAAGTTCCAAGGAACTATGACGCAAGTGGGCTTTCTAAATTTGAATATTCAATCCAAAATAATTGTTTTTAAATATATATACATATATATACATATTTATTGTTTATTTTATGCATGTTTTTATTCATTTGGTTGATTGCAGATACATGAATGTTTCTTAGACTCGTACCCAATTAGTGATTTTTCTCGGGTTATATCAGGTTTTCATTCCTTTCGCCCGCTTTGTTTCATTACCTAAGATTGAAGACTATTTCATCAATGTTTTTTTTTGGTAAATAAGGTTTACTTATGTTATTCAGCTGTGTACATTTTTGCTGGCCTTTGGCTGTTTAATGTACCTTTACAAATAAAAAAAAAAAATGTTTACTCAGCAAAATAAATAAAAAAGAATGTTTTCGGTTGAAATAAAGTTGTAATTCGATCTGTCAATTCAAAATCTCTTCTCTTTGGCGAATTTAACAATTCCCCGAATGTTTCTTCGGGTTATCTGGGTTTTCCTTATCAAATCTCATAAACAGGTATTTTTATTTTCATAAACAGAATAATTTGTCTAAGTGATCCGTTTTCATTTCAACCATACCTTAACAGTGCTAAAGTTCTCAATACCACACTTTTTCATGGAAGCTTATCTGTTTATTACTGAAATAACGGAGGTGGAATTTGTTCAAAACAAATGCTGGTCATTTCATTTGGCAAGATTGTGGGAGATTGTACGTTTCACATAAATACATTTGCCATGCGTAGCATCTCTTATCTAATAGACAAGTCCGTCCGTCCGTCCGTGGTGCTGTTTCAGCGGCCAAATCGTAAGAGATAGATATAGAGAATGTTTAAGTTATAAGTTAAGAATAGTCTGATAAGACTACAAACCGGATGTGAGTAACGTAGCACTTCCGGTTTTCGAGAAATCACGTGATTTCTATTTCAAACGAAACCACACAAAATCTCCGAAGTTCTCAATTAATTAAATACTTTTTTTTTTTTTGGTGAACATTTGGTTCACAGGTTTGCTAGTTTTTAAATAATTTGTGAGCAAATTGAAGAAAAGCAGCAAATAAAGAGAAATTCACACTATATGAATACCATTGCTCAAGATTAAACCTCTCCCTAGGCCGAACATTAAACGAATTTAGTAATAAGTATCCCTTTAATGGTGAGGTGGACCTTCAACGAAATCCATGAACGAGGTATTTATGTAAGATGACTTATAATACTCCCAAGAAATCGAATCTCGAAAAGCCAGAAACATCTTCAACTTCTTAGAGCTTATCGAGATACTGAAGGCTGAAGGAGATACTTTAATTTAGTGGCGAAGCACAATACATTATTATTAGTTCGCGGTAAATATAGTTCCATAGAGGAATTTCCAGAAATCTTAACTAATATAAATAGGTTCTCTCTTGTATTGAGTTTATTGAGAATCTTTTAAATATGCATCATTAAAATCATTTATATTATTTTAATAATCTTCTTCTTTATTATTTAAAGAACCACTAACAAGTTTACAATGACATTTGCTTATATAATCTAAAGAGTTATTGGTTATTGCAAACCCAACATTATGGTTTCATTTTCATTTCACATTTTTTTATCATTACAATTATTGTATTTGTTAAATATAATATATATACATAAAGTAAGCGACTAATTTAACAACATATGGTTAATGCTAATAAGGCTTTGCTGTTCAGAGTTATTAATAAAAAGGAATCGTTAAAGAAAGAAAGAAAGAAAGAAAGAAAGAAAGAAATACATAAAGAAAGAAAATAAGATAGAAAGAAAGAAAGAAAGAAAATGTTTTATTCAGTGACACAAATTCGTACATGAAAACCATATACCTTATACATAATGGTGCACTGAGACACAGGCGTCAGCTTAGTTTGGTCACCAGTCTCTCACAATCTTAGACCTAAGTTTTTTAATCTGTTACTCATGAAGCATGTATAAGATTGTGGAGAGAAATAAACTTTAATATTATTATTATTTATTATTATTATAAATACAATAAATTAGGTCTAAACATTTGCGTCACTAAAAAGGCAGTCCACTCAGTCACTCAGCATGTGACGGATGTCGTCGACTGTCCGACGTTGGTCTTCCGCCGTTACCTTGAAAAGTTCGGGACGAGAGTATGAATAGCCACTTAGGTAGAAAATTTAATTAAATGAATGATTAAATGATTTATGCTTAAAGTATTCGGAACTAATAAGTTGCTGACTATAAAACCTAATACACATTATAATTATGTAATTATTACACAAGAATGGAAATTAGCACGGCAATCAACGAACAACACAGTACCCTACATATAATAATAATAATAACTAATATTTAGTACCCTATTCAACTAGCATAAATTATGTGCTAATATTACGACGTTTAGCTAGTTTAAATAAATAAAAATTGGTTTCATTTATAAATTCTTTCATTCAATTCTTTTCACTTCAAACCTTCCGATCGGGAACTAAACTAAAAACCTTACAAAATGACAACATTGCCAAGTACAGCGTGCGCGCTTTCAAATTTTATATGTCTATCATTATGATCTCATTGTCTCGAACAGATCTACGCATGCCAGCAACCCTGGCAGTCCAGGGACCCTGAACGGTGTGAACGGCAGCGTTCATGGCGAAGCAAGGCAAGCCCAGTCCAGGAAGACCATCATCAGAATGTTGGGTAAGTACAAATATTTGTGTAGAAAGAAGAAAAGAGAAAAAGAGGTGTGAAGAAGCAACATGCAGGCCGGCAGGGTGAGGATGGCTGGTGTGGCAGGTAGAACTGCTGTATCAGCTATCTTCGCGTCTGGACTTCACCTTCACTTAACATCAGGTGGGGTGGTGTCATTTGTCGGACCTATCTATAAAAAAGAAATATTGATTTGTAAAGACTTTTGGTCTGCCTGATAGTATCTAAATGGCCACCGAATCTACCTTGTAACGCAGATATATTAATGTCATAATATTATTATGCATATCAGCGGCTTTGATTATTTACCATACTGTATTTTGCTTTAATTGTACATTTGTTTTTATACCTAAACAGTAAGACACGGCATTCCTAAACTTCTTTATTTTTAAATTTGTTTTTGTATATTTTTTATTTTATAGTCATAATTGTTTTATCATTTACATTTGTAATGGAAAGTGACTTCATGAGTTATCTCATATTGAAGTCATTTTACAAATTGACGACTCTGTATATAATACAGGGAGAAAAAAAAAGCCCTTGCTGAGTTTCTTGCCGTCTCCCGCCGTAGATTTGCGAACAGATGGCGTAGCTTTTCGACATTCACAAGTGCTTGTAAAAGCCTAGACTGAATAAACGATATTGAATTTTTATTTATTTTTTTACTCTCGGGATTAAATAACCAGCGGACGACATTAACTTTATTTCGCCAGGAAATCATTTAGCATTCACTCATTTAGCAGACATTCAAACGCATAATTTTGTAAGCTAGAATCATCTTTCCAGCATAATTTTAATATCCATAATAATTAAAAAGCAGAAAGTTCACAGTCAATCTCGTCTTTTGGTATACAATTTAGCTTTTATTGTTTATTTTTCTATTATCTAATGTGGCTGACTAAGTTTAGGTCACCACACTAAGGCACTTTGCAGACGACGGGGCGGGGCGGGCCGATCAATTTCGCCGCGAATAATAGCACAAAGTGAATCCTATACTTCAAACGCACACAGAGGGCAAAAAGACCGCGCTGCAGGTGCCCGGCGGGCAGTGGCGGCGCGGCATGTCCGCGGCTGCCCGCCGTCACAGCGGTGACACTCTGTGTACGTGAGAGTTCCAGCGTCAGTGACCTTGAGCAGGAGCGTGTGTGCGCTAGGGTTGAACTTGGAATTTAGACTTGTGCCAATGAATATTTATGCATAGTAAGTTATTAAATGTAAACTGATTCAAGGATACTGGGGTAAATAATGAAGGATAGGTTTGATTTTATAATCAATTTTTAATCTTTTAATGTAGGTACTATAACAAATTGCTAACTTTTATATATTTTCTCCTTTTTCGACTCGTTTTATAATTCTTATTATTATCTAAATAATAATAAGATTGCGTAGCGTAGTCAGTCTGTGCGTGCAATGCAGTGCAACGCTATTATTTTACTATTTCGCTACTGCCATCCCTTCGGTCGAGGCAGTCAGCGACTGCCCTCTCCACGTCCCGCGCGCCGCGCAACGCCCCCGCACACCTCCAGACACCCACACATAGCCGCGGCTGATTTTACGAGCACACATGCTTAAGTGTCGCTTCTTTTCGCGTAGTGTATATATTCTGTGCCGCCGTGGATCAAACAAACCAGTTTATATGCAATAACCCAGACGGCGGCGCGGGGCGGTCAGCTCAGTCCGCGCCACGCGTTTATTAGTGATGGACTATTCACTAGAACGAACGTCCTAAACTGACCGCCTCTGCCCGTCGTGTGCTTTGTGTACGCGGCGCGGGCAGCCGCAGACATCGACGGGCAGACGCGGTCTTTATTGCTTCGCGAACAAAATGCCCGCTCCGCCCCGTCGTCTGCTCAACGCCTAAACTTACCTAACCCACTAACCACAGACAGCGACTATAGTGAATGAAATTATGCAGAATAATAATTTTCCAAAGATAGTTAATGCCTTATAAAATTCTGGCATCTTAACAGTATGCCGCCATTGTGAATTCGGTGATATAAACATTCGGCAAAACGATAATTATTATATTTACAAAAAAAATGATTTATAGTTCTTGTACTTAACTGTATACATAACACTACGGGTGCTCTATAAAACTTTTTACAATAGTACAATACCATACAAAACTCTTTCTTTCATACCACAGAAAACATAAAATATGAAGTACATAATTTAAAGAATATAGTGTTATAATGGGCGGTCTTATTTTGTTTTATTTTTACTCACAAACTTATAAATATATAACTTCCTTTTTTACCGTTTATTGTGAGAATACTGGAATAGATATGATTGATCCTAAACCAAGAATACGGAAGCAAAAGTAAATATCTTATTTATTTTACTTACGCCATTATCTTTTAATGCCAAGTAATCTTCTGTGACTGAATGTCTTTTTTGGTGTATTTCAATATTGTTTTTATACACACAGCAAATATTAGCGTATGTAAGCACGTAAGGCTTGTGTAGTGACAAGGGTAACGAATAGAATACATTATAATAACGATACATAATATAAGTATATTTTTATTTTCAAAATTCATAAAAACATCCATGACTTAGATAGATATGCTTGAATTCATCAAACAAACAATTTCTCCATCGGTAGGCGACACCATGAAAATAGGCGTGCAAAACACTCGAGCCAAGAAATATAAAAATGTTTTATGCATAGATTTATTCCTTTGGTTGTTATTGGTTTTTAAGAGACTTTTTTCTAAGTAACCCTAAATTTATAAAAATACATATAATATGAAAACATTTAGGTAGGTACACAGATACTTAATTTCTTCAGTTTTTTATTTATTTATTTATTCATCATCGACAAGTTTCAACAGCGTTTTACACAATATAATCTAATATAAAATTTTAAACTGTACTTTAGGCAAATACAGAAACTCACTTTGTATTCAATTTAAAAATTAAAATGATTACGTACGGTAGAAATTACAAATTAACAATAATATAAAAGAAATACCAACAAAGATTCAAATTAATTTTGCGATAAATATAAATACCTATATAAATCAAAATTATAAAAGGAGCATGATAGCTAAATTTGTGTAAATAAGTGTGTACGTGTGTTTGATATAGTGTGTGTGTGTGTGTGTTTGTGTGTGTGTGTGTGTGTGTGTGTGTGTGTGTGTGTGTGTGTGTGTGTGTGTGTGTGTGTGTGCATGCCTTCTGGTTGTGCACATTGCGTAGGTAGGTATCTTATCATATTTTTCGCTTGGTTAACATGGCGGCAATATTAAATGTGTATGTTTAGGAAACCAGAAATGAATAATTGATTCAATAAATGCAACATTTGAAGAAATAATGAGTCTGTAACAGTTAAGTAATTTCAAAGATGTATTAGGTTTTTATCGCATTTAATCATCAAATAATTACTAAATTATTTGTCTTATAAACACTGTTTAATGAACTCTAACATTTTGCTAAGAAACATTCCAAAGTCATTACGTGAGTGACCAAATAATACCTATAGATTCTAATTAAAATCCGATGTCTATTAATTTCTAAAACTTTAATCAGCCGAAATTTATTACTCTCTCATTTTCGGGCATATCTCAACTTCGGAAAGATTCTTGTTGAAAATTTTATTTGATTTCGAATCGACTAAATTTAAATGTTCCAACTTGATTTGAATGAATACATTGCTCGTATTTTATCGTCTATCAGTGTTTAGAACAACAAGATTGTTCAATTATTTATTAATTATTAATTTTTCTTTAACAAAGTTTCTTCAGCGTTTTTCTTTGTGGATTTAATACAATAAAATAGAAACTCATCTCTTATCTATTAGACAAGTCCGTCCGTCCGTCCGTGGTGCTGTTTCAGCGGCCAAACCGTAAGAGATAGATAAAGAGAATGTGTAAGTTATAAGTTGAGAATAGTCTGATAAGACTACAAACCGGATGAGTAACGTAGCACTTCCGGTTTACGAGAAATCACGTGATTTCTATTTCAAACGAAACCACACAAAATCTCCGAAGTTTTCAATTAATTAAATACATTTTTTTTTGGTGAACATTTGGTTCACTGGTTTGCTAGTTATATACTAATTAGATACTAACGGCATTACTATATATCAGTATTTATTTTTTAAAAATTGTATATAAATCATATATACTTACTAACATAAATAATGAAATAAAATTAAGATTGGACAAAACAAAACATAACAAAAAGACAAAAAAAAAAGAAAAACAATCACTAAATACCCATACAAAAGGGTTTTCAAAGAATTTGTCACATGATAACCATATAAAGTGTGGGTGTGTGTGCCCCCGGGCACTACATCATTAAAGTACTTTAGTGTGAGTGCTTGTAATTGTAGGCTTACATGGCGCTGAGAATAAAATCAAATAAATAAATAAAAAATACTGTTACTGAATAAAAAATGCTTAGATAAATAAATAAAAAATGAAAGGTGACTTCAGACGTATCTCTGAAGTCATTTTTCAACTTGACGACTCTGTATATAACAATACAGGGAGAAAAAAAACAGCCCTTGCTGAGTTTCTTGCCGGTTCTTCTCAGTACAAGGTCTCCCGCCGTAGTTTAGCGGAACGATGGCATAGCTTCTTGACCTTCACAAGTCCTTGTAACAGCCTAGACTGAATAAATGACTTTTCATTTCATTTCATTTCGACTTTTCATTTCATTTCATTTCGACTTTTCATTTCATTTCATTTCATATCACCATGCGTTACACGCCTTCCTTTTTCTTGCATACCAGCAAGATCTGGGACAACTTCCCTCGGTGGTTTTTCCTTTTAGCTACGAAATGATAGTCTTCAAATGGGCGGCAGTGACTACTTACCATCAGGTAGACTGTCAGCTCGTCTGTCTGCATAAACTTAAAAACAAACTTACTGTGACCACGATTCCTTTGTAATCTAAGAAATTCGTTGACTCAATTCCTTGTCGTAGGTACTTATCTATACTTATAATAAATCTGTAGAGATGTCAATTCTGTACATGAAATATATTTTTAAAATAACTATCAGGGGATGATTAGTGATCAATACTGATGCCAAAAATGCAATCAGTAAAATTTTTGTCTGTCTGTCTGTCTGTCTGTCTGTGTGTATGTTCCTTATAGAAACAAAAACTACTCAACGGATTTTAACGAAACTTGGTACAATTATTCTTCATACTCCTGGGCAGGTTATAGTATACTTTTCATCACGCTACAATCAATAGCAGCAGAGTAGTGAAGGGAAATGTTGGGAAAACGGGAGAAGTTACTTCATTTTTTAAGCTTCCGTCGCGGGTGCAGCCTTAATGGTTAAAGTTACATAGAAATCATGTATGACGGAAATATTCTACATAAAATTGTCTAAAAAATATCCCGCAACAGCATATGTCTATCTTTTATGGTTGACTCACAATAACACGTGTAATTATATAAATAAAGTCATTGTTTATAGCACAAGCCTGAGAACAAAAACTATAGTTTACACTACAGCTCTACACCGAAGCGAAGCGAGGGCGGGCCACTAGTTCATAAATATAATGCTACCTTATGGAAGTGTTGTTTTTGTCGGTAATTAGGTATCTCCACGGAGTAAGGGATTAGGTCAGGATAGGCGACGGCACGAGAGATAGCTTGGATATCGCAATCTAGTTATATTTTCTTTAGATTTAAAAAAGCCTTTCCTCGGCTGAAAGTCTTCCGGCATAGCAGGCGAGCTTTCTACCACTAAACTACCGATGCTTGTAGATAGGATCAGATTTTTTAATCTAATCTAATATATAAAATTCTCGTGTCGCGGTGTTTGTGCTTAAACTCTTCCGAAACGGCTTTCCCGATTCTCATGAAATTTTTATGATACAGCATTAGTAAATATAGATATAACCCTGAATTTTCAACCCTTTACATTCAATCCCTATTTTACCATCGCGATTTTTGTTTTTAATAATTTCTTTATTTTCTCAATTCAATTTGATCTTCCGCCTTCACTGGTCGATAACCGATCAACGATCAATCGATCAGTTATCCCCGCTAGATATCTACCTGGGTCACCTCTCATCCAGCAAACATCACGGAGTAGGGATGAGAAGGAAGCCGGTCTCCTGTCTTCCTCAATATACAGTTTTAGGCCTTTTTTTTGATTTCATTTGTGTATCGATCGTAGCAGTAACCTATACGTATTAATTTTTCTGTGCATCTATTACGTTAATTTTACTCTCATCGTGAATTTATTATTAATTTACTGTGCAATAATTATTTTTTCACATTTTATTAATAACTGATAAAGACAGTTTTAACTATACGTTAATTAAGTGATATTATATAAATAAACAAGTGTTGTGATCTCCCGCCAACAACGGCCATTACTGTACCTGTATATCCACAATCTCAATTCACCTTTTGCCAGGCGTATCGTCACCGACCTGGACACTCTGTTAAATGAGCATAATGAATTATTGAAATGTTTGTTTTCCACTCGTAAAAAATTAAAATTGTTTTAATTTATCCACTAGCGGCAGTGGTGGTGGCCTTCTTCGTCTGCTGGGCACCATTCCACTTCCAGCGGTTGTTCTTCATCTACGGCGCCAGCTCCAAGCACTACCACACCATCAACAAGCACCTTTTCAGCGTTGCTGGAGCTTTCTACTACGTGTCTGCTACAGTCAACCCTATCCTCTACAACCTCATGAGCCACAGGTATACTCCCTGATTTATCTTTAACTTTAAACACTATTGCATTTTCAAAAAAATTCTCTTCAGCTTTGCTGCCCTTTACTACATATCCATCACCATCAACCTCATTCTGTATAACTTCAAGAGCCACAAGTATATTTTTGTCTTCATCTGCAGCTAACACGTCACCAAGAAAAATCTTTTCAGCATTGTCAGGGCTTTCTACTATGTGTCTACTACTGTCAACTTCATTTTGTATAAAATCATGATCCACAGGTATACTCTCTTCTTCACCTATAGGCTTTAAGTTAACAGTTTGGTGTCATAACTTGACTGTAGCCGATGCTATATTTTACTTGGGATTCATATATTGCCCGGAAATAAGTGTAACACAGCTTGTCGACCCATTTCCAATAACGGTTTTGCGAAATTGCCTTGTTGCTTACTTCACGAATATAATAAACACAGACATAGATCGAAATAAATAATGCAAGTGTCCCGGACGTCTCAGTATTAACCTATTAAAACTATCATACAATTGAAATCGGTGGTGCCCAAACTTTTCCATCACTTATTTGTTCTTATGAGTATTCGAAATACGACACGGCCGGTTTTTGAAGTTATACTTCTTTAGGCGCGTTATGAAAAAATGATGAGAGTGAAATTTTTAGATGCGCGCGCATCACTGTAACCCAAAAGTAACACCATGAAGTTGGCCGCGGGCGCATTATGAATGTTAGTGTCTAATAACGGTGGATTATTAACCACTAAGTGGTTTATTAGACATCTGTTCGAAAGGTACTTTGAACGATCCACGGAGCTCCATAAGATGATCGCGTTGTCAAAAACAATGTTGGCACGCTCGTCGCCTCTGATCACTATTTTCATATTTATAATATTTATCCACATGTTTCTAGTTTCTATATAGACACAACGTGTTTTAGTTACTTACAAGTGATAATTACATATGGACTAATAACTTAAATTCAGTAGTGATTTTAATTGAATATTTTGAATATTTATTTAATTTTTCAAATTAAAACTGAACTTAATTGACTGTGTTAACTATCCTTTTCCAGTCCTTTTATTATTTTATTGTAATTATTAATGATTTGCATGCAATTAAAAAATATTTTTAATGATGCTAAAGAAGTATAACTTCTCACGCGCGTACATAAGTTACACGCATCCATTTTTTTTTTAAACAATTTGAAGAAGGTACTGTAACGCCCGTAGCGTTACGGCCTCCTTGCTTGTATAAACTCTTTGTTTAAGTAATGCCTACGGCTGGCAGTTGTATTCAAAAGTAAATGTCATTACTTTGAGGATTTGAATATGACAACCTTCTGTCTCATATCGAATATTCTGAGAGATAGAATCCAGGCACAGACTCGAACGGTTGATAGGAAGATTATTGTACATAATTTCTCTGAGTTTAAATAAAAAAAGTAAAACATAAAGAAAAGTTTTACTAAAAAAAAAAACCACGCGGACCAGGCAGCGGACGGGACTCGAACCCGCACCCTTCGCAAACCGGGCGAATGCACTGACCATTATGCTACCACGACCCTATTCGCCGGGTCGAAATTTTCCGAGCCTAAAGCTGCAAGGCAGCGCCATCTCTCCGCATTGTAGGTAACCCACAATGTCAAATGAATACTTTTTCAAGTATGAAACATTTGAAAGAAGAAATAGCAATTAAAGTTATGTTTTTTTATGTTTTTAAGCATTTAACTGCTAGATGTTTAAATCTAAAGAAAAGTTTTACTAAAAAAAAAATCCACGCGGACCAATCCGGGCGAATGCACTGACCATTTTTTTTTTCCAGTCCGACCAATTTTTTTTCCAGGTCAGTGCGAATGCACTGACCAATTATGCTACCATGACCGTGGTAGCATAATTGGTCAGTGCATTCGCCCGGATTGCGAAGGGTGCGGGTTCGAGTCCCGTCCGCTGCCTGGTCCGCGTGTTTTTTTTTTTCTAGTATCTCGAGTATTCTCATTCGTAGTTATTGTAAGCTATGTCGTCAGGGCTTCCCTTCAGGGATAACCTAACCTAACCTAACCTGAAGGTTAAGCTCTACAGTACCTACATGCCATCTACTTAGATTAAGGTCTGTGATGATAACAGCTGGCTGATTTGATTTTGTGCACGGGAATAAAACTGATCCTCTCCGAGTGCTACCATAAGTAGTCAAACTTACAAGGGGCTTAAGTTGTTTATCCTTACATTGATTAAACGCAGAAATAGGTTTCTTTGATTGAATTCTGTGTAGCGTAAAGGGTTGCGAGAAACAATTTAAGACTATTTAACTGGATCACTATAAGTACAAACTGTTTGGAAATACTTATTAGTAGTGTTGCCGAAATATCGATATTAAAACTATCGACAGTTTACATCGAAAATCATGTACCCTATCGATAGGCCTATCGATAGAATCGATACAACCGATAGTATCGAAACTATCGATAGCTCAGAACAAGGCAATACTATCGAATGAGTGCAATACTATAGATACTATCGATACTATTGTAGTTCGTTAATAACAAACTATTGATAGTATCGATACTATCGATAGTGTTGATTTTATCTCCATCAATACTATCGATAGTATCGATACTAGCGATCGTTTTAGACTAAAGTTTGTGATTGACTATAATACCTGAAAATTATAAACAATACTATTGCAAATTGTTAAACTATCGATAGTATGGTTGCAAATAAAATCGACAGAATCGATACTATCGATAGTTTGTTATTAACGAACTACAATGCTATCGATAGTATTTAACTCATCCGATAGTATTGGTTTTTTCTGTGCTATCGATAGTATCGATACTATTGATAGTATATATGTCGTGGCCATATCGTAAATTTGATCACTTCATGAAATGCTCGAGAATTTCATGAAATGGTCACATTTCATGATGTGGCCAACTTAATTTGACCAGATCATTAAATCGTCAACATTTAATGATTTGGTCACCCACATTTGGCCGGATCGTATAATTGGGGTGTCCATAAAATATTTATTAAAAATTTAATAAAATTTTTGTAACAAAATAAACAAATTAAAGATTTTTTTTTCCTAAATTAAACATCAAACATGTCAAGAACTTACACATTTATATTTAGAAAACTATCAAATATTTAGAAATAATAAGGTACTTTGGTACATATTACAATAGCAGACTTAACTGTTCTTCCAGGGCCCAAACGGTAATACTTCACACTAGGTTAGGTTAGGTCAGTGTTGTGACTATGACGCGCAAGCCGAGCGAGCACAGCGAGCATGCCGCGGCAGCAGCCGGCGAAGCGCTAGAAAAAAAAACTCTATTAAAGAGACCTTTTCTACAAAAAAAAAATCAAGTATGACCTCTTGGGCCCTGGAAGTACAGTTTTACGGTATATCTTTGTACGGCATTGATTCTCATCCGCACTTTGTACCTCAACCACAGTTTCCAAAATGTCATATTTTGACAGCCAGTAACAGTCCATAGATTTCTTTTGCGTAGTCACCCTACTCTCCTTAATTTGTTTCGTCGAAAACCCTTTTGTTAACTTTCTTCCTCATTAAATAACGAATTATGCACTTTTTCACTGCGAGAAACAACATTGTCGACAGCGGCCGCCATATAAATATATAAACAAAGCGCTTGCAGCGCCTCTACCGGTAATTAATGTAACTACTTTACAATATGATCAAATAATTTTTGCCATTTCATGAAGTAGCCACGCGTTTAGTTGGCCATATCGTGAAACGATTTCTCATCATTTATCTGCCCAAACCACATCATGATGTGGCCAATAGATAGTGAAACATTTCATGAAATGGTCGCCATTTCATGAAGTGATCAAATCTACGATATGGCCACGATTTTGTAACTAAGAAAATGCTATAGCCTCTACTCTAATTGGTGATTAAGCAAACATGCTTATCGCCAATTTCTACATGCACTGGTAGTTTGACTACTCATTCGATTTTGAAATGAAATTCTAAATTATTAGATATATTCAAAGCTCTTTGAATTTGAAAGAAGAATGGGCATAAGCAACGTATATAGACTACACTTCCCATATTCCCTCTAAACAAATCCTGAATAATTCTTAAAAGTCCAAGTAAGAGGCATAATGCAACTCTTTGAATTGTCAAACCAACATTTTCAGCGTCAAAGATCGTAATACATCCAAAATTTTTAATTTGGTCTAAAAATACTTTTTAGGCTCTCACTGCGTCATCACAGTTTCCGTGCTGATAAACAACAGTCTTTTAAACAGGAGAAGCTTGGTTTAGTTATATTTGAATTACAGTAAAACCCGTTTAAGACGATTCACAGGCGTCTTAAGCGGGAAAGCATATTATGCGGGATTGCAGGATAGGGAAATTTCAAATGAAGGTATTGAGTTATTAAATGTACAATATTTAAAAATTACATATTAATATTATAAAAAATTTAGTGTATTATTATTACGTTTGTATTTAGATTAATCACTTATTTTAGTTTGAGAAGAAAATTTTGGGAATTAACAATTACAAAATTATCAACATAATTTAAAGAAAAGTTTACTAGAAAAAATCCACGCGGACCAGGCAGCGGACGGGACTCGAACCCGCATCCTTCGCTATCCAGGCGAATGCACTGACCATTATGCTACCACGGCCCTATTAGCCGCGTTTCTTCTTTCAAATGTTTAATACTTGAAAAAGTATTCATTTGACATTGTGGGTTACCTACAATGCGAAGAGATGGCGCTGCCTTGCAGCTTAAGGCTAGGAAAATTTCGACGCGGTCCGGGACAGGCCGCGGTAGCATAATTGGTCAGTGCATTCGCCCGGATTGCAAAGGGTTCGAGTCTCGTCTGCTGCTTGGTCCGCGTGGAATTTTTTGTAGTTATATTTTCAGTCATAAATTTGTTTTTTTCCTTATTATTTTTTCCTTCGGCGTCGCTTATTACCGCACAATGGAACGAGTTCTACCGCGGCACCAGTGCTGCAGAAACAGCTCGAAGGATTAATGATGTTT